GCCAGAACCTTTAGGTATCTATTTCCACCTCTGTTGCAGGTGAGCCCTTCATGCCCTGGGAAGCTGCACAGAGTACATCAATTCCAGAAAAAACAATACTCAAAAAAACCAATGATCTCAGATAAAGTTTCCTATCTTTCTTTTTGCTAAGGTCCAAAGATTCAGATTCTTCACGCCGAAACTTCAGTTCCCCGTTCCTTCACATAAGAAACCTTTCCATCTCAAACATGGAAGCGTCAAAGCCAAGGTTAGAAGTACTTCCCCCAAGATACCACATAAAATGAACAAACGTAGCATAGACTACGCAGAAATTACGTTACGCTCTGGCTCATCCCATTTCAGAAGATATAAGACTTCACTGCAATGGAAGTAATCAAGTGCTGTTACAGCCTCGGTCTTTGAATATTGGCAGGAGGAAGATACTTGTCTGTACTTCAGACGTGAACGTTCACAGCAACTCTGAGAACAAAATGCCCCTTTTTGAAGCTTTCTGTGTGGTTAAGGCAAGGTATTCTAAATCTGACAACTCATCTTACCCTCGGAAGCAACTAGTTTGATCGCTAGCATAACAAAACATCCCTGCAGAATTGGGACAGTCCTAAAGGGGCTCAAAAAAGGGTTAAAGTTGTAACCTACAGTTTCACAGAGTGAAGTCCTAGTCATCACTCAGAAGTAGTTAATACTGGGATATCCAGTCATCCTTGCCTTTGTTACAATACAATGCTAAAGCAGAGACCTGGCTTTTCCACTTGAAAACGCATCGCTGACATTGTGCTCTTCCAGGAGCAACTCAAAGATTTAATCTAGTACGTAAACCACCGACTAGCAAACACAATAAACTCCATTTCTAAATCTTTTCTAAGAATTAACTAATAAACAAATCCATTTAAATTCTACCTCGTCACGTAAAGGATTAAAAACACAACAAGAGGGGGGAAAAAAAGTTTCAAGAGACTCCAACACTACGTTAATTAGGTCTAGAAAGTGTTGCCAACTTTCTTTCCCATCTTTTCCTCTTTAAGAGGAAATTCTGCTGTCAGAGGTAGGACTAATTATTTTGCTCTTCAAGTGAGGTTGGCCATCTTCCTGCTAGTTCATTTTTGTGTAGCCTCCATAGTCTGAAAATCTAGAAGAGAGTCTGCTACCCCAAAAAATGCAGTATTCCAAAACCACATTATAGCTACGGTATTGCGCTTTTGTACTTCTTTGGCTGCCATACACAGAGACGCTCAGAGCTACAAAAGCACAGGAGGCTTGCAGAATAGAATAGAAGAATTCTATGGGATTGAATACTCTCCCAACGGATGGGCCTAGCCTTTTGTCTAATGTTTATATGAGAGTTGCAAGAGTACAATCACTGACAGGAGTCCATGCACCTTAAGTATAGGGAAAAAAGTGCAAACGTAGCTGAGAAGACAAATATTTTACCCGCTGGCTCTTCTAGGATGCCTTCTTCTCCTGACTTCTGATATACTGTGGAAGGATAGGTTACTGTCAGCTTGCTGTTATGCTCTTTTCGCACTAGTGATCTCCTAGATCTTAAAGGAAAGAAGGGAAGGTGGAGAAAAGTCAGTACAAAGGCTTGCAAAGTTCACTGTAATTAATTTCACACCATCTGTTTACTTCATCATGTAGTTAAACTTACTTGCAGTTTGGGCACTTCTTTGAAGTCATATGTGCTTTCCAGAACTGTGCTATCAGCTTATTCTTACATTCACATACATTTTTTACCTGACAAAGAAACACAGACTTCAAAATAACGGAAATAAAAAAAAATAATTAACGATCAACATGCCGATTACTAGAATTAATGCACTCATTTAAGCACTGATCCTCTACTGCTCTTCCGTCCTCCCCCGAGGTTTGCTGGAAACCTAAGGATTCCTTATCTCCCAACACTCAACCCCCGTCTTTTTCAATTAATTCCATAAGTCGTCTTTATTCCTCAAGTTAGTACCACATATTAGAGCTTCTCTCTAATGATGATTTAAGAGGCCAGAATATTGATTAAAGTCAATCTTCACTTTTGACTGGTCATCGATGTACTGTTTCTAAAGTGCTTCAGGTTAGTTCTGAAACAAGTAACTGAGAAATTAAACTTGACTTATAAGAAAATCTGCTTTAAGATGTCAGACCTTTAAATATCTTATTTTCTAGTATTTTCCTTTAACTAGCAATGTACATTAAGTTGCGTTTAAATAGAAATAAGAATTCAATTATAACCACTTAATTCTTTAAAACGTTAAAGTACGTAACTCTGTAAACCTGCTGGATGCATGAGTTCTCAAAAAACTGTTCTGCAGTTCACACCAGCTGATATACTGTACAAAGTCATCATCACTGGCAGACAGCTTACCGAGAGCAACATGAGACTATTTTAGATTGCATTTGCAATATCAAAGCACTTTTCTTAACAGAAAGCAAAGCGTAATTTCTGAAACCTAATAGTTACTCTAACGTCTTATGGCCCAGAAAAGAAAATCTTTTCAAGCTTAACTTTAGACATTTGACCTGTGAAGTCCTTCTTTAATAGAACAAGATTCAGGGCTCTGGAGTCCACACAGACAAATACAGATTTTTTTTCTACACATTACTATTTTAAAAGGACATAAAATCCAAGTTCCTAGGAAGAGCACCGATTCTACTTACATTTGAACACTGATCTCCCAGTTGATGATTCTGTAATATTTCATGAACATGATGATTTAACTCTTCTTCTATTTCTAGACCTGTTGCATCTGCATTTTGCTCTACAAACTAAAAAAGAATACAAAAAGAATAAAAGAAATAGGGATAGCTCTAACACTACAGAGCCATCAACTCAAAAAGGAACGGAGAAAGACAGAGTACTTGCCCTGTTCAGGATAACTTCAAGATCATGGACTGCATGAAGCAACCCTCTCTCCAGAACCTTCAGCTGACTTAGCAGCAAGTGAACCACAGCTCGAGTACACGTGAGCATGTGACAATTTAAACAAGAACCTCGAATCAGAAGGTATAGTTTCTGGAAAGGGAAGGAGAAAAAAAAGTAATTGTGGTAAGTTTATTGGTTGGCACAGTAAGCAAGTAGATAAATTTGTTTAAACTTAAGGAAAATGTTATTATAATCCAGAAGTTAGACTAATCATTAAATTTAATCATAAGGAATTGGGCTAAAAATAAAAATGAAGCTCACATACAAAGCATAATCTGCCAACAAACTATCTGCAGACTGTCTACCTATCAGTTATGGGGAGAAGCAGCAAAGCATGACACACCTACAGTCACTCTGGGACAAAGTCTACTCTTACACAGCGCTGTGAATAGGGCTTTCTACTAGCTTCTTCCATAAATGACTAGGTGATGTCCAAATCTCCAGACCAGTGACTTGAAACTGTCTGGACACATATACTATCATCTCAAAGTGAGGTACTTAGCCGAAATTAGTAGCCTAGGCAGGACCCTACTACTGTAAACAGAGAGATAGTCACCTCGAGAGGACAGCTCAGGGGCCTGTTACAGGCTGGATGAATTGTGCTCTGGAAATAGCCCTACTTCTCAGATTCTAGAAAGAGCTAGAAAGTACTAGTTAGGCTATACATCTCACTTTCAGAAGACTAAAATAAGGCAAATCCTTAGTGTCAGGAATCCTCTTATATTTAAGAGGTGAACCTTGGAAAAACACCTGCATGAAGCACTTGAGAAATGCTGTGCAGTTTAACGTGTCATCTGTAGCTTTCAAAACTGGCTTATAAAACCTGTCCTGAAGGACGTACACCTGCTCTGTTTTACATCACGTCTGTAGCATCCCATGCAAGTACGATGACTGTAAAACTACAAAAAGCATATATGTCTGTCTTATTTCCATGTGCTAGAAAACTTCTTACCAGCCTTTTCTTTTTTTTTTTTTTTTTAAATGAAAACTGTTGGATTTTCTCTACCTAGTTTAGCATTTTTCAATGCTCTACTGCTGTCAAACTTACAACACTGCGTTCTTCTATTTACTGAGCATATCTGCGTGTCACTCAGCATATTGCTGGGTCTTGGCTCTCACCCATATTGATCCAGTGTACTGAATAGTTATTCTGGAACAAGAGCCTGAAGAGAATACATAAACACAGATATTCCAAGCTTAAACAAGCCCTGAATGTCCAGGAAGGACTTAGAGATCCTAGAATAAAGGCTTGTGCTGTAGTTGCTCAGGTAAGCTCACAGGAGTAGTTTAAAGGAACCAATAGTTTTTACTGTCATCCGTTTAATCAAATCATGAAACACTGCAAGTTGGTCATATAGTTCAGATCAAAGTTTTCCCCCTCCTCATTTGTTAATGGTGAATGAAGTGATAGTTACAGCAAAGTATATGTTTTGAAAGAAAAATCGGAGGGGTCTATTTTTATTGAAATTTCATGGCACAATAAGCTTTTTCTGTTACATTCGCTTACAGGTATTACAGTGGAGCTACACTTAAACTAAGAGAAAAGACAGATCTCTATATCTTTAGCAATTTCAAAGACGCTGTAGCATAGCTTGAGCACCATCACCCGTTTCGTTAGCAAAGCAAAAAACGCATCTACTTACATCAAAAAACAGAGGGTTATAGACTGTCAGAGGTAGTTCTATGTGGCCAAAATGGCCAGGGCAGTTGCTGAAGTTCTGCATGCAAGTAGTACACACTTCTTTGGAGTCTGGAGGTCCCAAAGCCAAGTCATATAGTCCATTAACGGCTGGATTCCCCACACTATCCAAATACTGAGGATTTGTTATGGTTTTTACACTGAGTTTCCTGCAATTGAAGGAAAAAAAAAAAAAACAGTAGCAAGTCACACTTGAATATTACAATGAGCATTTATGTTTTACTTTTTTTTTTTTTTAAAACAGGAAGACATATTTTTCAGGGCACTTCATGAAATCAGCTGGAATTTCTGCATCATTAACTTTACTCATTCAATCACTCATATCACACTAAATATTTCTTTCAGGCCTTTAGCCAGTACGTTAAGAAGGCAAGTCGTTTTGTCTGCATGTCGGCTCGAGCAGGCGGGAGCGGGTAAAGACGGCGAGAACACCGAGACAGCTACAGCTGCACATCCTTGAGCACAACCATACCGACACTACGCAAACAGCGACAGCACTCTGGATCTCCAGGACACACGACCTGCTGGAGAAAAAGCCCTCACCAACACCTGCAATTCCTTAGGCTGGTGGGAGAAGAGTACCCCCACCTCACAGATCCCTTCTTCCTCATCGCCCCCATCCAAGGGCCCCCTCTCAGGGGCTTCCCCGGCCCCACAGGCCCTTCCCCACCCTCAAGACCCCCCAGCTACCCCTGCCAGGCCCGGCTGGGCTGAGGG